TTTTTTTTTTTTTTCATTTTTTTTTGTATACGTCCTTTTTTTATGACAATAGAAACAAATGGGTCCTGTACCCCTAGAAACAGGACAAGAAATTTGTAAATGTCCTTTTTTGTGACAAGAAAAACACATGGGTTTCGTGTCCTCAGAAGCAGGACCTGATTTTTTTTCTTTTTAATTTTTTCCTGATAAATTCTCTGTGTTTGTGGCTGCTTGTATTTCTGAACTGCGGCCATTAGAATCCTGGCTTTTATTAATTTTTTTTCCCTCATCTCTTATAACATACACTTCGTGTGCTTCCTTTAACAACTCCTGAAGCCCCCTATCCTGCCAATTTTCTAATTTCTCCAGCTTTTTCCTGATGTCCCTCCAGGACTTAGCTACAAATTGTGTTTTTAACAGGACCTGCCCTACTGCTGTATCAGGGTTTATGCCTGAGTATAATTGCAAATTCTTTCTTAGTCTCTCTAACCATTCTGCCAGGCACTCATCTTTCCCTTGGTGCTTACTCAGAGATTTCCCTATATTTTGTCCCCTGGGCATTGCTCCCTGATTCTTTGGTTAATCACCCACCTGAAATCCCTCATATTTTACCTATGTTCCACTTCCTGATTATTCCAATTTGGATCTGCCATAGGCCATTTCTGATCTCCTTGGTTTGGCTTCTAATGATCTCTATTCCAGGCCCGTATTCCTGACTGTCTAAACATTTCTCTCTTCCACTGTAAACAAGATTCCTAAAATAGACTGCAATTCCACTCAGGTGTAAATACTCAGTCCCAATAACTGATCTAGCCTCTCTGCTACTCCAACAAGATCTTCTAGCATCCTGCCCATCTCTTTCTTAAATTCCCTAACATCCCCAGTGTTCAGGAGAACACTCATGTAACCAATAGGTCCCTGTCCTGGGGCCAGATTTGCCATTGGAACCTCCCTAAGAGGGTATTATCTATCTTCCCTTCCTGCTTCCTCGTCCTCTTTGTCACTTTCTTCCTCTTGTTCCCTTCTGCCTCTAGTTCTGTGTGCTACCAGCTCGTCCTGAATAAGGGGGTGCATCAGGGACCAGGGGCTGGACAGGCTGGACAGGCTGTCTGTATGGGGGTGGGAGGTGATCTAACGGGTCCCATGGCTTTATCTGGTCCCTTCTTGCTGCCTGTCCTTTAGTTTGCAAAGGGTATAACGAATAACCTTATTTTTCCTGCCTTTGAACTATGAATTCATCCCCCCACTTTTGGAAGCCACAAAGCAGCATATTCACTTTCCTCCTGGTTAAAAGGTTCTTTTGAATTCACATATAGATTTAAAACCTGAGAAATCCAATCCTCAAATGATCCAAACTCTGGCCAGTATAAATTATTTGCACAAATCTTTTCTTTTGTCTACTCAAACATACAGTACTGTATCACTTTCTGCTTACTTTTTCTCTTTGGGATTCCCTTGTGCCCCAGTATTGTAACACTGTCCCCAGGGGGGCTGTCCTGAGGAATCTCGCTCCCCTTCTGGGAAACCCCCTCTCGGTTCCCAGGCACACCGGGTTCTTGTGAATTTTTCTCACACTTCACAACCCCTGGGTAGGAGATTTTACTTTTCCTCTGTCCCATCTCTGGCGGCAACATCTCCCTTGCTCTCTCTCACTCGTTCCGTGGTTCAACTCCCTCGCTTAATATACACTATCTCACTTCTTTTGCCAACCACTTGTTTCCCCACCTAATTCCTTCTTTTCCTTTTATTCTTTCCCCAACTTCTCTTTCTGGCCACTCTCCACAATCCTTCTTAATCACGTACTGAAACTTCCATCTATTATCCTCCCAACAGATAGTTGAACCTGACTCATTCACTCCCTTCTTCAATCACTTTTCTGAGCATCAGCTCCCTTCTCAAAGACTTTTCCCGTGAGTTCTCGGGCTGGGACTTTCCCTCCTGGTCCCTCCTGGGGTATTCACTCGCTCTCCCCTTTCAGACATTCCTCACTCACACACAAGCACACAGCCGCCCCCTGTACCCAACCCCGTGGTGCTCACACAGCCCCGTTTTCACACAGGGCTCTTGTGCACAAGACGTTTTACGGGCACCTTTCCCTTTCTGCCAGCATTCCCACAGGAACCTTCTTCTGGCACACCTCCTTGTAGCTAGCTTCATTTGCTTATGCTTTATTTTAATTTGGAACACCCTCTCCAAGAGAGCCTGGTCTAGCCTTGGGACCACCTTAACAACTGGTGGGGAGCTCCTTCCCACAACTAGCCACTCTTCACTTGGACTGGAGTTCCTGGGTTTCGGCACCAAATTGTTATGAATGATGTTCTATTTTTCTAATTTATCAACCAACAAGATTAAATTTAATAGTAGATTTTTAATAGTAACAAAATGAACACCATCAAAGAATTGGAGATGACAAAGTATTGGAGATGAATACAATCAAAGTGCATATATTTAAGACAATACAAAATTTTGGCAGTAAGTAATTCAGTATAATTGAAGTTCATATAAAGCATAAGCAAAACTGACCAGGGACCAAAGCATCAAGGCTTACAATCCCACTTATGTACTGTAGCCTACAGAAGTTTCTAGAAAACTCCTCCTAGTTTCCATTCCGAAAATCTACATCGCTGTGTGTACGGTGCATGCTCTACTAATGGGTTAGGGGGTCTCTCATCCTTTTGAGGGTCTTATTTCCAATGAAGGCTCATAGTCTTCCTCAGTGACCGAGGTGTGACCCGCAGGTAGCGCAGGTGCACTGTGTGACTGAGCAGATGTTTTCCATTACAAGACTTTAATTGAGTCCCATGCTTGGAATCATCCCATTTTGGCCCATTTCAAGGTCAAAACTTTCTATTTCTAGATGCTGCTTGTCAGACCTACATCCTTCTACTATTC